CTGTCACCCAGTCACCCCATCCCCCCCGCCCACCTCCCTTTCCTCTACCCCTTGTTCATTTCCCAGAGTTAGGAGTCCCTCATGCTCTGTCACCCTCTCTGATATTTCCCACTCATTTTCTCTCCTTTCCCCTTTATTCCCTTTTACTATTTTTTATATTCCCCAAATGAATGAGATCATATAATGTTTATCCTTCTCTGATTGACTTACTTCACTCAGCATAATACCCTCCAGTTCCATCCATATTGAAGCAAATGGTGGGTATTTGTCGTTTCTAATGGCTGAGTAATATTCCATTGTATACATAAACCACATCTTCTTTATCCATTCATCTTTCGATGGACACCGAGGCTCTCTCCACAGTTTGGCTAATTGTGGGCATTGCTGCTATAAATATTGGGGTGCAGGTGTCCCGGCGTTTCACCGCATCTGTATCTTTGGGGTAAATCCCCAGCAGTGCAATTGCTGGGTCATAGGGTAGTTCTATTTTTAACTCTTTAAGGAACTTCCACAGTTTTATTAGCAGACTCAATTCCTTAAATATTGTAAGAAGGAATTTCTTCAAACAGAAAGGAATTGAAATCATCTTAAAGCATCAAAAACAAAGAGAGAAAAATAGCAAGGGAAGACATTTACATACATACAATAGATTATCCTTTTCCTCATGAATTTTATATATTTGATGATTGAGACAAAAATTATCATGCAATCTGCTACTCAAGACAATGATATTTTAAAGTGGGGAATGTAAAGAAACCTAAATGCGAATCAAAGTCTCACACTTCACATAAAATGTTGATAACAGTAGACTATGAAAAATCGTATGTGCTTATTGTAATTATGGTAGACCTCCTCAAATATGTCCATGTCCTAATCTCTGGAACCTGTAAATATGTAAGCTTCAATGGCAAAGCAAAATGGAATTAAAATTGCTAATCACCTGCCCTTAAAATAGGAAGATTATCTGATTTATCCAAGTGGGAGCAATGCAGTTAAAAGGGTTGTAATTACAAAGCAGAAGAAAAAGAAGAGAATCAGAAAAAGAGATGTGATGCAAAAGGATTGAAAGGATGCAGTGAGAGTGAGTGAAGACACAACCCACCACTGAGGAAGAAGAGGCCGAAGGCCAAGGAACGTAGACAGCCTCTAGAAGTTCAGCGTCAAGGAAACAGATTCTCCCCTGGAGCCTCCAGAAATACAGGCCTGCTGACACCTCAATTTTTTCAGTGACACTTGTGTCAGTCTTCTGACCAGAACTGTAAAGATAATAGGTTTTAGCTTTTTTAAGCCACTAACCTTGTGGTAATTTGTTGTGGTCATGACAGAAAATGAATACGTATTTTGGTGTGAATAATTACCTTGAACATATTGTTAGTGGAAATGTAGATGGTTAACAACTTGCTGATGAGGCCTCAGAAGGAAGGGATGTGTTATTGAAAACTGGTAGAAAAAGAATACTTGCTATATAGTCACAGAAAGCTTCACAGAATTATGTCCTGAAATTATATGGAAAGCAAAAGTTGTAAATAAAGAAATTGGACATTTAGCTGAGGGGATTTTCATGCTAATAGGGCTTCAAAATATGGCCTTGTTTCTTAGCGGTTTTTATGGTGAAATGTGAGAGGAAAAATGTAAATTGAGATGAAAGTGTTAAAAACAAATCCGGACCTAATGACTTAAAAAATCCTTATCCTATCAAGTTTGCAAAAGATAGTAAAACTAAGAGATTCACTATCAGGAAATCATGCCCCAGAGAAAAATCTAGGAGTGTGACTAGACAATCTTTTGCCTTAGAAAGGAAAAAAGTATTCAGTAACACTAAGGGCTCTTAGGAAAGATTAAGTATGTGGTTCTTAGATTCCCTCGCCATCTCAGTAGAAGCCCAAAATAGAGATAGGATTATCTACAAAAGATATTTGGAAGTTCCTTTTGTCTAATGGAATGAATCTCTGACATAGATGGACATCTACAAGTTTTTTGACAATGTTGTAGTAGCATAAAAGCTGTCAGCTTGGACTGAAGGAGACAAAGTACAAAACGAAAGAATGTTGTGGGGCCCTCAGAATTTTTCCAGCAAGAAACAGGCTGTTAGAACTATTCATCTGTAAACATAAGTTACCATTTATACAAAATAATAAAAAAGAAGAAAGAAAGAAAGAAAGAAAGAAAGAAAGAAAGAAAGAAAGAAAGAAAGAAAGAAAGAAAGAAAGAAAGATGACTCTAAGTTGCTAGAACACAGAGCTGTGAACCCATGGAGCAGAATTCAGGGGGAATAAGCCACAGGGAATTTTTTCCAACTCTTGATTCCAAATGGAATTTGCCCTATTGGACTATAAAGCTGCTTCAGGGATGCCTGGGTGGCTCAGCGGTTGAGCGTCTGCCTTTGGTTCAGGGCGTGATCCTGGAGTCCCAGATCAAGTCCTGGATCACGTCCCTCATCGGGTTCCCGGCAGGGAGCCTGCTTCTCCCTTTGCCTATGTCTCTGCCTCTCTGTCTCTCATGAATAAATAAATAAAATCTTTAAAAAAAAAAAAGGAATTTTTTTAAACTACTTCAGACCATGGACTCCATTTCCTTTTCTATTTTTTTCCTCCTTTGCACAGGAATGTCTATGACTAGTATCCTATGTCTGTCTCACCAACGTATTTTTGGAACAGACAACTTGATTCTTGAGTTTCATAGACCCACAAATGGAAGTATTTGTGCCTATGGATGGATTCTACCTAGAGACTTACCCAAATGTGATTTAGATTTGGAATTGAATGATACGATTTGGAACTTTTTATCTGATGATATTAGATGAGATTTTTTACTTTGAATTGATGTTGTAATGAGTTGATGGTGTTGGAGACCAACAGAATCTTATTGACATATATTGAACACTCCACCCAACAAAAGCAGAATACACATTTATTTCAAGTGCCTATGAAATATGCACCCAAATCAACTATATCCTGGACTGTTTTTTTTTTTAGTCAACAAATTTAAAAGAATTGAAATTATACATAATTTGTTTTCTAAACATAATGACTCTAAATAAAATAATCAACAATAGAAATCAATAATAGAAGGACAAGAGGAAAATCTCTAAATACATGGAATTAAACAACATGCTTGTAAATAACCCTGATTAAAAAATCTACAGGTACAAACAATGCTTTCTTCTAAGATTGGGAAGAAGGCAAGATATCTGTCTTCATCATACTTATTTAACATAGTATTAGAAATTCTAGACACTGAAATAAGAAAAAGAAATAAATGGTGTACAGATTAGAAAGGAAGAAGTAAAAGTTTCTCTTTATTTGTAGATGATATGATTGTTACATAGGAAACTCTTAAGAAATCTATTTTTAAAATCCAAGAAATAATAAGTGAATTCAGCAAGGCCCCAAGAAAAAAGCTCACTACAAAATATTCAATCTTATTTCTACATACTAACAATAGACATGGGGATATGAAATTTTTAAAATATCATTTATCATCACTCAAAAATTTAAAAAAAATACTTAGATATACATGTAACAAAAGATACACAGGGCCTATATGCTGAACATTACAAAATACTGATGAAATAAATCAAAGAATCAAAGTAAATGCAGAGACATGTTTATGAATCAGAAGACTCAACATGGTAAAGATGTCAGTTCCCCCAAAATTGATCTATAGGTTTAATGCAATTCCTACACAGCCAAAGTTTTGTAGACATAGACAACTTTATTTTAAATTTTTATCGAAAGGCAAATATTCTAGAATATCTAAATATACATGACAAAGAAGAATGAAGAAGAAATAATCATTCTATCTGATAAGTCTATAGTATTAGCCATAGTAATTAATAATGTGTCAATTGGAAAAGGGATAAGCAGATAAATCAATGAAACAGGAAAGAGAATGGAATCTAGACCCAGTAGAAATATGCTTAAACAAATATGCTTAACTGATTTTTGATAAAGCTACAAAAGCATTTCAATAAAGCAAAGATAGTCTTTCAACAAATGATGTTGGAGCAAATGAATGTCTATAGGCAAAAAAAAAAAAAAAAAAAAAGAACCTCAATCTAAACCCTACATACTATACGAAAACTAAACCACTAATGAAATACAGACTTAAATGTATCACAGAAAACTATAGAATTTTTAGGAAAAAAAAAATTAGGAGGAATCTTCAAGACCTAGGACTCAGCAAAGAGTTCTCAGACACCAAAAACATGTTCTGTGTAAAGAAAATGATACATTAGATCTCATCAAAAGTAAACACTTTTGCCCTTGCAAAAGCCCTTGTAAAAAGATGAAAAAGTAGTTATGTTACAGACTGGAAGAAAATATTTGCAAAACAAATATCCAATAAGGACTACTATAAAAATATATGGAAAAAAAAAAACCCTCAAAACTCCACACTTAAAATTCAGTTGAAACATGGGCAAAAGACATGAACACATTTCACCAAAGAAGATATACAGAAAAGAGATTCATTGTTATAAGCCAACAGGGCAACAAAGATTAAAATCACAATAAGGTATCACTATCCACCTATTAGAATGATTTTTTTTTTTTTAATGATAACAATACCAACTGCTAGTAAGAAATCCGAGAAATTGGATCACTCATACTTTGCTGGGGAGATTGCAAAATGGTACAGGATACTGAAAAACACTTCATCAATTTCTTATAAGGCTAATTAATTAGCTTATGACCCAGCAATTGCATTCCTATGCCTTTAAAAAGGAGAAATAAAAACTTAAATTCACATAAAAACTTGTATATAAATATTCATAGCTTTATTTATAATAGCCAAAAACTAAAAACATCCCTAATGTCCTTCAAGAGATGAACAATTAAACAAGCTAAAAAATCAAGTCCTTTGAATTTGACCCTAACAAATTTCAGAGTTCCTTGAAATTATGTGATGGAATTGGATGAGGTAGGAAGAACATTTTAGAGAAAATACAAATTAGTATATAAAACTAATCATTTGTTCATTTGTTGAAAATGTTAACTTACTACAGAATGGACTTGTGCCACTAGTATCCAAAAACACAGCGGTCTTGAGAAATTGTTTTTCTTTTCTTTCCTTTAAAACATCTTTCCATAGCTCAGCTTGATAACCTAAGATTTGAGAAAGAAAACATTAGAAACTAGATTTCCATCAAATAGCACACAAAGCTTTCAAACCACTAAATGAACTAAATAATGTATTACAATAATAATAATTTATGATTTCTGTAACTTAAAAACCATCTGTCAAATAATTTTATATTCCATTCATTTTAATTACATAATGAATCAAATTCAAGATTCATAAACAAATCCACTCCCTAGAAATCATATCAGAGCTGAGCATACTCCATATGGCTACAATCCATTTGTAGCAATTTTTACTATTATATCATAAACTCAAAATTGTACTTTTTTTTAAGATTTATTTATTTATTCATGAGAGATACACAGAGGCAGAGACACAGGCAGAAGGTGAAGCAGGCTCCCTGCGGGGAGCCCAATGTGGTATTCCATCCTGGAACTCAGGGATCACGCCCTGAGCCAAAGGCAGATGCTCAACTGCTCAACCGGAGCCATCCAGACATCCCCAGAATTGTACTTGCATCTCCTTTTAGTAAATTCAGTAGAATAAAATGATTAGATAAAACAAATACAAAATTTAGTTCCATGAGCATAGCTCCCAATTCTCCTACATATACACATGCATACAGATAGTGTATGCATGTGCATACATTATAAATGTGTCATAAAGATAGCATCTATATACATTACATATGTAATATGTAATATATAAATTCCAGATACATACATTATCAGCATATTTGAAATATTAACACATACACATATATTTAAGATGTTTCCTACTCTATGTATTTGTCTGTTCTTACATTACTACCTCCAAATTTGAAATTTGAATGTAGTAGGAAGAACACTAATCCTTCTATTCACACTGGGTCACAATTTTCTCATTATACAGAAAAGCAATGAGCCCAGAAAAGCAATTCCCAACATAAGATCTGAAGAAAAAGAATCCCACAAGACGTCTTCTGGACAGAAGGGGTCTATGAGAAATTAAGTCTGGCAAAATCTGCATGTTGCCCTCCTCTCCTAGCAATTCTCTATGCATGTTAGTATAAACCTCCTGCTGAAGAAAACTGCAGAAAGCTGTTAAATTCAACCATTGTAATTGTTTCCCATTTCATTGAGCCCCTTTGGCTTTGGAAACATTTCTAGCAGATCCTGATCATGGCACTCATAAGATGTTAGTGCTGGGATGACATGCTTGGGATCTGGTAATCTCTTTAGAAAATCCAAAGCAAAAAAAACAGCCTCTAAGATTCTTTCCAGCTCTACTGTTCTATTTTTATGTGGATTCTTTTTTTTTTTCCCTCTCTATAATTTCTCACAGGCAGGCTGTAGTTATCGAAAGTTGAAATACTTAGCTGCTTTTGCCAAGCTTTATGAGTTTGGAAGGTGTGAACCATGTATGATTCATGTCTACTTGCTAATAGCAAATGAAAAGCTGACTATGGTTTACACCTCTCCACTTGCTCCTAAGACTTTCCATAAAAATTAAAACCTTCAGTGCCACTAAGAATGTACAAGTCTTAAAAAAAAATGCATAGTCTCTTTCTTTGGTGGAAAAGTAGAAATATAGATGGATGATAGATAGTGAGACCTCTTTACAAAACAAGAACAAGGATCATCATAAGACCACCAAATTTGCACGCTACATTGAGCATAGCTGGTTAAATTCCACTGAGCAGTTGATTAAACTCTTTTCACTAAAAACCTTAAAAGTACTACATAGGAAATAAATTATTTTCTCTGGTTGTCCCACAGGTAATTTGTCCATAAAATGCTAACATGTTCACAAGAAAATATGAAAGTTTCCAGCAAAATACTAACAATTATTTATTCATTTTCCACAAAAACTTATAGTAATTATAACAATCTCACTTACCTAGCCTAGGACATGATTTTCCCTTGAACTTCTCACAGTTTACACATAAACCAGCTTTGAAATCTTCATATGAAGAACAAGGAAATGAAATAAAATTGCAGTTTGTTTCCAAAGATGCCATGAACAAGTAAACTGCTCTCTGGTGGTTGCATTTAATAAATTCAATTCCTTAAGTGTTAAAAATCAAGCAAAAGAACTGTAGATGTATTAAACTGTAGATTTATTAAACCAAGTTTAAATAAATTAGAGAAAAATTAAGTTCTATTCAATACTACATACTTGTGGATATTAAAGTGTTGACTATAATAGACAATTTTATCTCAAGGAACTAAATGAGTAGTACCATTGAAAATTTAAATTTAATATGCATTTACATGACATTTATTTTTAAAAATTTCTGAAGTAATAACTACCACAGGAAAAAATGTTTAATTTCAATCATTTGACCACCTCTACACACACAGTGCTACCATACTTAATAACTATGTGTATATCTTTATCTTTCCCTTCTAACCTCACATCCACAACATTTCTACTCACTGTCAGGGAGGACTATGAAACCAGGAAACAATAAAACTTTTATTGTGTCCTTTTCTTTCCCAATCTTCTCACATCCTTATAATCTTTGACCAAACTTCTCTAGCTGCTGTGGTCTTCAGTGGTGTGTTACTTAACTAGGTGTCACTGTAGACCTCAAAACACTGCTTCCTATGACTCTGAAGTGAGCCAAATCCACACCTGGAGCAGCTGCTTGGCTATTTTGTAACATCAAGTACAAGAGATTATGAATCTGTGCTTGTATAATATTATAGTTATGGTAAAGATTAAATCCTGAGACCAAACTCATGTTACATGCTACTTTGGCCATATGTGCTTCTTCACTGACTTAGACCTTCTCCTAATGTTTAAAATGCTGAAATAAAGGTGCACAAAAATAATAATAATAATAATAATAATAAATAAAGGGGCGCCTGGGTGGCTCAGTCTCTTACGTGTCTGCCTTCACCTCATGATCCCAGGGTCCTGGGATTGAGCCAGAGTTGGGCTCCCTTCTCAGCAGAGAGTCTGCTTCTCCCTCGGCCCCCGTGCCCCCTTCCCCCATGCTCCTGAGAGTACCTGTGTGTGCCTTTGCTCTTTCTCTCTATCAAATAAATAAATAAAATTTTATTTTTTATTTTTTTATTTTATTTTTAAAAAATTTTTAAAGATTTTATTTATTCACGAGAGACAGAGAGAGGCAGAGACACAGACAGAGGGAGAAGCAGGCTCCTCGCAGGGAGCCCGATGTGGGACTCCATCCTGGAACTCAGGGATCACTCCCTGAGCCAAAGGCAGACAGACACTCAACCACTGAGCCACCCAGGTGTCCCCAAATGAATAAATAAAATCTTATTTAAAAAATGATGAAATGAAGCTATTGAAACTAATGTAATAGGTCTCACCATGACAAAATGGGATATGTACTGGTAAACTTTATGAACTGAGAAAAATCCAATTAAGCCATTTTTTACCAATAACTCTCCTGACTCACGAGCAAGGATGATCAAAATCTTGCCCACAAGTTAAGAAGGAAAAAAGTAAAGTAAATTGTTTTCCTTTCATCATTTGAAATTCATAATTCATTCAAAAATACTATTGGTATACCTGAAAAAATGGATTTAGGACAGCCAGGTTGCTTTTTTCCTCCATTTGGATAAAAATCTATATGTCCCAAGGGTTCTTTAATGCCTAAACCTAAGAAGAAAAACACTCAAGAATCACAAACTGAATAAAATCGAGTCAACAGCACTTTTACAAAATAAAATATCCTATAAATTCCATTGAAAATGACTCTTAAAATTTGAATTGAAAATAAAATAAATACTATTTTTACAAAGATGAATTTTTCTGGTATTAATGTCTCAAATTAATTCCTCATGAAAATTATGTCATCAATTTAACATATTTACCAGTCATCAATTTACTATGGGTCCATCACAGTCCTTTGTGCTACAAATATATAAATAAAAAAGAAAAACAGAGCAAAACTCCTTTTGATAGTGGAAGCTGTATCTTACTGGGAAGAAGACATAATACACAAGTGAAAATATAGTATGTCAGATAATAATAAGTACCACAGCGAAAACACCAAGTAAGAGGACAGTAAGTGCCTAGTGGGGGTGGTAGGTTGCACTTTTAAGTAGTTTGGTTAGACAATTTTCCATTGAGGAGGTAGTCACACAGTGATGTGAAGGATGTGAGTGAAACAGTGAGCCAAGCAGAAAATTATGTGAGCATACCTAAAGAATTCAAAGAAGCCCAGTTACCTGGAGTATAACATGCAAGAGGAAGCACTGGGGGAAATGAAGCCAAGTCATTTGTGACCTTTTAGGCCAGTGTGATGATTTGCTCACACTCTGGATACAGCCAAAGACTTAGTACTAGATTCACTAACTGGAAATACCTAAATATGCTGCATCAGCTGGAACAAATTCGGCCAGAGTAACATAAATGTGTAGCTATGACTTAAGGGCTTCTGTGTATCTGTGGATCCTCAGAACCCCAGTGGTAATGATTGGGACCATTATTACCAATATGGGGACTATAACCCAGGGAAGTCATGGGAATGAAAGAGGGTAGGTAGCAAGCTCAGAATACTCAGGAATGTGATTAGATATAAAAATTTTGCTACCAAGTAAAGTTGCAATGCTTTGGCTTAGGGCACAAGACATTTTCTACAACAGAATAAACTCTTGAAAGTGACCAGCAATAGATTTATATAACAAAGATAAAGACTAAAGACAGGTCTGACAGTAAGGATTAATATGCAGCCACAGGATTCAGCGTTAGTATGGAACAGGACAAGATAACTGCTAGTGAGGTGTTGGCAGAGCATGAGAACACTGGGCCTGTGAATAATGGGGGAGAGGATTCAGCGTGTAAGGAAAGGCAAAGTAGACTTCAGTAGAACTCCTTAGAATCCAGGGAAGCACAAGACTGATTTGATTGTGACAGTGGTGAGGATATGCTAGCCAATCTTTCTTTACATACCATCACCTGCTTGCATTCTCCTAAATATGACCAATATATATATATATTTTTTTAATTTTGGAAATCTTTACAGTTTCCTTATGTCTGAACTCAACATGGAGTTCCAAGACTAGGGGTTCCAGGTTGGAAACATCATTTTCTCCAATTTGCCACTAAGGTAGAATCAAGCCAAGAAGACTCCTCAAGAATTGGGGAGAAGCAAAAGACATTTATATTAACTTACAAGCAGCCCTTGATTCAGGCATGTCTTTTTCCCTTTACCAGATGGAAGGGGCTGGGCAGTTTGGTCTGTTTAGGTCATTCATTGCCTTGGTTTCAAGGAGGGTAAGGAGAGTAGATACGGCTTTTAAAATTTAGCCACTTAGCTATCATGTCTATGTCAAGAAATAGCACCTAGAAACTCTTAGTATGCTCTTACCTAATCACCAGCTTCCCTTTTCCATTAAAAATAACATCTGATAACAAAATATTTTTTTTGCTATTCTTTACCTTCCAAGGATGCCTCCCAAAACATTATAGTTTATTTTTGCCCATTTGGGAACTATATATAAATTGATTCGTTTTTCATGTATACTTTTGCATATGCTTTTATTTTACTTGCTTTTTTATAATAATCTAAATTGGGTGTGATTCATTATCCATTTTTCTATGTTGCAGAATTGGTTTACAAATGTGACATTTTATGTAGAATTTTTGCACCCATGGTTATAATAATGTCCACAAATTTTCTTTTCTATAATGTCTATCTCAAGTTTTGACATTTTTAGGATGGCTTTTAAAAAAGGTTATAAACAGTTTCCTACATTTTATTATTCTCTGAAACCATTTGTGTGAAAATGGTCTTATTTCTCCCTTAATTGTTTGGCAGAAAAATCTGCCTAGGATTTACTTTCTTGGAAGTCTTTAAATTACAGTTTGTATTTCATTAATAATTATAGAACTATTCAAATTTTCTTTCTTAATCTGTCAGTTTGGTAAATGCTTTTTGCTTCTTCATAAAATTTTTCTATTTTATATACAATAAGATCACATATTTTCATATTTATTTTCATAATATTCATTATATCATAATATCAATTTAATACCTGTAGTATCTGTAAAATGATATTTTTTATTTTAATTTTTTAAGATTTTATTTATTTGAGAGAGAGAGAGGAGAGAGAGCACAAGTGGGGGAAGGGTGGAGGGAGAGGGAGAAGTAGGCTCCGCAATGAGCAGGGAGCCAGACACTGGGCTCTGGCTCCATCCCAGGAATCTGAGATCATGACCTGAGCCAAAGATAAATGCTTAACTGACTGAGCCACCCAGGTGCCCTTTTTTTTATTATTAATATTCATTATGCTTTCTCTCCTTATTCTATTTTTTTCTCCCTAAGAATATATTAATTTGGAGGGTGATATATAAAGTTTAAGCATTCTATATTCCTTCATTTCATGGAAAGAAGGTAAAAATGCAATGTAAGGGGTTTCAGAAATACTTCCCACATTCAATGTATCAGGAAACTTGCCATAAGAAAAGTGACTCCAAATTACCAGTTTATTTTTCTGGAATTTTTCTAGCTTCTGGATGTTGGACTGTAATTTGTCCCTGTTAGCTCAGCAACAATGTTAGTCCAAATCATCCAATTCACAATTTTGAAAGGCCATATAGCTTTTTTAAAATATACAATCAAATATGGTAAAAAAAAAAAAAAAAACCTACGCACTCATGGATTAGTATTTAAGGAAAAGACAGTCTGCCAAATATATGCTAACCCCAAGTATCTCATTCAGAAATTCCTTGAGAGAAGGGACATGCAGCATCAATATTCTGTGTCTCTCATTTGTGATGGTCATAAAAAGATCATTCAAAGGTGCCAACAATGTGGCCTATAGTGGTAAGTTAGATCTGATAGTCTAGATTGTCAAAAGATGTTGAGAGTGAAAAAACAATAAAAACAGTTTATTAGGAAAAGCCAAAAATGCAAACAAGAACAATAAAAAGTATGAAGAGCTAATTCAAAGGCCATAGGCAGAACTGAAGTTGAGAGAGGTTTCAGAAGGAAGAGCTCAGACAAAGAATCACAGTGCAACTGGGCAGTAGGTGTACTGTGTGTGGGAATGCTAACCTGATAGAAAGGGATAAAGCAACAAAGTCTTGAGAGGCTGAGTTATCACATTAGAACTATGAACCTTTAGGCACTAACTACCTGTGATACATAGGTGAAGTTTGATTCCAAAGAAGGAGCAGAACAATACCCGTATAGGCTCAGCCCCCCGGCACACAGACATAAAGGTTGAAAAATTGTCCTCTGTGGGATTTATGGCATTTATAGCTCTCACAAAGGCATTGGTAGGGATCACCACATGGTAAACTCAGAGGACTATGGGAGCAAATAAATTACTTGGACTAAAGAGAAAAGAAATCTGAGGAAATAGGGAAATCAGAACAGTCTTGGCATCACTTCCTCCTTTCTCCATGGTAGTGCCATATCCTCTCTGTGCCCGCAACCACAACACATGTAAATTATCAGCTGATCAGAGCAACAAACACATGAAGCACAGACTCTGGAATCATACAATTTTGAATTCTGGCTCTGCCACTTCCTGACCTTGTGACCATTGTCCCTAGCTTCCCCATCAGTAAAAAGAGGATATTTACTTATCTCATGGGGACTTGGGAGAATTTCATAATTAATTCACATAAAGCATCTAAAACACTGCCCAAGGTATAGGAAGTGCTCAACAAATATTAATATCATCAATTTCAAATGAGGAAGGGGCTCAGAGCCATCTAAATTCTTCCTTGAAAGTATCTGTCCTGGGGCACTTGGGTGGCTTAGTGGGTTAAGCATCTGCCTTCTGTTTAGGTCATGATTCCAGGGTCCTAGAATCGAGCCCCAGTCAAGCCTTAAGTTGGGGAGCCTGCTTCTCCCTCTCTCTCTGGCCTTCTCCCTCTTCCCCTGCTCGTGCTTGCTTTCACTCTACTCACACTCTCTCTCAAATAAATAAATAAAATCATCCAAAAAAAAAAAAAAACAGAGTCTGTCCAAAGCACTCTGGCCCAAGCTATCAATAACCTGTTAGATATTTTTAGGAAGATAATTAAAAACAATACAGAAACTATTTCCCTACCTTTAAGGGAAAGTATTCTCTATCTGTATCTGAAATGCTGTGTTCTGTTCTAGTTGGTACACATCACAAGGAGAACGTGAGTGGAGAGAATGGTAAAGCTAAATACAGTAGAAACATTAAGCGTGGGAGAAACTGTGATCAAATCAAAATTGTCAATAGTATGAACAAGATGAAGTATTTTTTATCAAGTTTCAATTTTTTAGGATGATATGACAGCCCTTGAAACCTGAAGGAGGTAAGCTGCAGGCAAAAAGTGCCATTTGACTCCAGAGAATATCACAAACTAAGAAATAGCCCTTGTGGGAAATACAATCATTTTATCATTACAGACTCATCATCACTTTACCCACTACTCTTTCTCCTTTTATGTTCTCTTATTCCCCAGTGTCTTACATCTTTTCCTTTCCAAATAATTAAACAATAAATCCTACATTGTTACCATGGGTATCAGAATGGATGACATCAACAAATTTAGCATCAGTGTAATCTAATCTAACATTAAATGGTCTTCCAGAGAATTTTGGCCCAGCAGGATCAAGACCTGAAATTCAAGAAAGAAACTGTCAGATGATTAGTCAATTCCTACAACAATGGTTATTAGATCAGATATTTGTATTATTATATTATAAGCACATCAATATAGTTTTAGCTTAAACTTGTGCAAAAAATTAATATTAAGAGAAATTAAATTGAATGAGTAGCAAATACCTTCATTAATTGAACAATACTTTTTACCAATGTTTAGTCTATCAACAATCTAGTGTTAAGCTACACCTAGGGATGCCTCAACAAAATACTGTAGGGTTAACTGAACACCAATAAAAACTAAATTTATGAATAAAATAAATAAATAAATAAAATACTGTAGGTTTTTTTTTTAATTTTTATTTATTTTATGATAGTCACACAGAGAGAGAGAGAGAAAGAGGCAGAGACATAGGCAGAGGGAGAAGCAGGCTCCATGCACCGGGAGCCCGACGTGGGATTCGATCCGGGGTCTCCAGAATCGCGCCCTGGGCCAAAGGCAGGCGCCAAACTGCTGTGCCACCCAGGGATCCCTAGGGTTTTGTTTTATTTTGTTTTTTGTTTTAGTATTTTTATTTAAGAAGTACTTAGGGATAAACCTGTAGTTGTTTTATAGTTAATAACAAATATCTACTACAGACCTGAGAAGAGGTAAAATGAATAATATCCTGATCCTGTCTTGATCCTCATGCTTTACTAGTTCATCCTAGATCTATCTATAGTTCTAAAATGATTTTTTTTTCTAAAATGATTTTTAAGTGCCAAATACAATTTGGGCTATGGCATGAAACAAATTAATACTTTATCCTTCATTTTTCACAAAAGTTCCCCACACACAAGAAAAGGAAAATCCATTAAGAGTTCCATGAAATATAGATATTATTGCTAGTGCATTTGAAAATTTAAATAGAACTCCTAGGCTCACGACCTACTGGCATGTGTCAAAAAAATGGGGGTGGGGAGGAGGTAAAGTTTAACAACTTGAGAACATCTATTCAATGGAAGATAAAATCATCTCAAAAATGTTTTACCTGTTATTCTTCCAAGTTGACCTTGAAATATCTTTCCAACAAATCCACTAATATGAGCCCCTAAGCTCATACCTATGAAATGAAAATTATCAAGAGATGCTCCATACTTCTGCAAGTGAAAATACAATGTTATGATTTTCATTTTAGAAATCACAAATGCATCAATATTCTAGAATTCATTTTTTTCTCATTTAATATATTTCTGGGAGACAGAAAATGGGATTTTATAATTTAAAAAAACTATATCTTTGTTCAACATTTTCCATAAGATATCCGATTTTTCTCTATACATTTTTAGTAATGCCATTACATTTTTAAAAACCTTTGTTATCTTTTATCCAAAATAGTATATGCCAAATAATACATTTAGTTAAAGAATTTCATAATAACAGTAAAAGCACCATTAGGTATTACCTTGAATAAGTGCTTTGTAAATCTCATATTTAATATTCATATTAGTCTAATGAGGTATTTATTTTTATCCTATTGCCTAAAACAAGTCCTGGCATCTATTAAATGTTGAATAACATGGTTTGATAATGAGTTACCTGAAACCATATTTACTTATTACTGTCAGGGACAAAGATGGACTTCAAGTCCAGGCCTGTTTAACTCCAAAATATATAATAATCTACCTACTTGTTTTTTTCTGGTCAAATTATGTCAAAATCACCAAGAAGACTGAAACAGTGTGAATCACCATCATTTCAGAAATGACAAAATGAAACTTATGAATTTTAAGTATGATCATGGCTTCCCAGATCACAAGCTGGAGAATCATGGAATCTATTCCTCCAACCCTAAGTTTTAAACACCTCTTAGAGGCCTGTAGAAATATGTGGGATATTTGCTGTCAATGAGTAACTAAACCCAGGCTTTCCAGACACAGGGTATTAATTTTCTTCAAATTTCTCAGAGCAATGCCCAGAAACTTGAGGGAGAATTACTCTCAACTTTAGTGTTATTGAGCTTTTCTTCCTTTTTCCTACACATAAAGCCTTTTCCTAAATTTCTATCTTTAACATTCATATTTCCCACACTTTGAAATACATGTTTATTAAAGAAAAGGCCACTGCTGTAAGCAACAATCAATTATGCAATGTACAGACTATAAGACCAGGTGAATCAATTAACTCCACTGTCTCTCTAGAGAGCTGGTTTGGTTTCGTCCAAATTTGAGGAGGTAAAAATTATACTGATCTTGATTTCATTCAATGATTATCATATACCAGACACTGAAAGAATTAATTTCATTTAATACTTTTATAAAATATTCTTATAAAGTTTGGTTATCTCAAATGTATAGAGATAAATAAATGAGGCAGAGAGATTAAGCAATTATTCAAAGTCATACAGAGTATAAGGGATAGATTTGGTCTATCTTCCAATCTGACTCCTGACAATTATATGTAACTGCTTCTTGGATCTATTAAGCTTGCTTAATTTCAAGAGCACTTTGGAAATTCAGCACAACACAATTCAAAGCAGATTTCAAGCCCAAGAATGTTCCAAATCAGAAATTACCCTTCTTTCTCTCAAGTGCTCATCACGACTACGTTTCTCTCTATAACAGACACTGATATCCATACGGGTTGGTGTAGTAAGTATAGATCATTCAAACTGCAGATGACTTAAAACTGGCCCAAATTTATGGCTCATCCCAACAGTGGACCTAAATGCTAGACAAATCTGAATGGTACAAAGACCTGTCTCCAAGGCTGCAGTATGCACTTTCGATCTTTTTCCCTCACTTTTACCAATTCACATTTGATTAATTATAAATATATTAGCCATATCTTAGAAAAGATACCTAAAAACCTAATGATTATATAGTTTATCCTCTTGGTCCACTACCTTAATATCAAGTCAGTATAGGTAGAGTTAAAAAAAAATAAAAATCTTTAAAGATTTTAAGGCAAAACATAATAACCAAGTCTTTAAGATCATTTTTTAAAAATAAGACAGTTCATATCTAGGTATGGAATTTATCCATTCACATAAGGAAAAGATGGCTGTAAATGAAAGCATATCAAAGCAATAATCCTTAATATGTATAGGAAAAAAGTATTTATCTTATTACCACTTTGTGGTATTACATAAAAGATTGTATATATAATGCATAAAATTCTTACCAAAAGATTCTGAATGTACCCACTCAGACTTCTAGCAACTCTTCTGGTGTTTTTAACTGCTCTGTTGTAAAGAAAAGTTGTAGCACCCCGGTTCCAGTCTACTACAATTATATTCATATCCTCTCGATTCAACAAAATCCTTAGGAAGTTCTGAAGCCATGAGGGAGTGGAACCTGTTGGTCTATATCCATGAATAAGCCAGACAGTTTTCTTGTTTGTACTGAAATTAACATTAAGTGAACCATTCTGCTCAAACAGTGGCTCAGCACAGTTGAGGTTGTTCCTTGTGTATAGCATCAAAGCAATCTCCGTTTGGGGAATAAACAAATCTTTGAGGGAATCCATTAGACTTAGCTGAGAGAAGTGAAGGCATGGTCTTTTACTCTCTGAAATGATAAAAAAAAAAAAAAAGTCAGTCAAGATGATTACTGCAATAGTATTTGATACAATTCCTATTGCTATTAAAAATAACAGATTTGAATTTAGAGGGAAGATTTTATTTCATTAGTGTTTCAACATAATACTCTGGAGCAACTACAATGTTTAATGCGTTGATTATGTTAAAAAAAAAAAAAGACCCTTTGAAGAAGCATCCAAAATTTTTAAATAAAATATAGAAAGAAAAAAAATAATAAAATAAAATATAGAAAGAAATGTGATGGTTTAAAATTAAGAATTACTTTTTATCTCTACAAAAGAGAAATGGTGTGACTAAAATCATTAATTTTGTTAGTAAAGGGGTGCCTGGGTGTCTCAGTTGATTAAGTGTCTGCCTTTGGCTCAGGTCATGATCTCGGGGTCCTGAGATCTGGCCCCACATCAGGCTCCCTTCTCCGTGGGGAGTCTGCTTCTCCTTCTCCTCTGTTTCTTCTCCGTCCACCCTCCCTGCCCCCACCATTTGTACTCTCTCTCTCTCAAATATATATGTACAACAATAAAAGTAAATAATGAGCTTTAACAGAAGTTCTGCAGAATATTTATATATGGATAATAATCATTCAAGAAAATATATCTAGTGATCAAATAAATACAAATCAAAACAATAAGGTATCACTTTTTCTCATCAAATTAAACAAAAAGTAAAAATCATCTTAATACTTCTAAAGGTATATGTAACAAATATTCATATACATGGATGCTAAGAGCATAAATTGATACAAATCCTTTTGAAATTAAAATTATATGGTATACATATAATCTTAAAAGTAGGTATTCGTCCTTATTTTCTTTTTAGGATTTATATTAATGAAATAAACAATTTGTATTAAATGTAAAGACATTAATAACAGGGTATGGATAATTGCACAAAAACTTAAAATACCTTAATTATACCATATAGTATTCTCATCAATGTGTGCATCCTATGTGTCTGCCTATTTATCTACCTTCCTCTACCTACCTTCCTACCTACCTACTTATCTGTCTATTCATCTGTGTATCCTAGAAGGATGTAGGACAGAATGAAATAACTAGGCCAAATCAATAGCAATAGTCATAGCCAGGCATGAAAAAATGGCTGCTTTTTAATTTTCTTTTTCATAGATTCTCAGGATTGTAATTTCTCTCAAAATAAGCATATAATCCCAATTTTTTTTTACAAAAGCATATTGTACTTGTACTGTTTCTGGTAGTTTAACTTATTAAAAGATTTGGGGAAACAATTTGTCAATTTATATCAAAAATTCACAAAATTTTTAATATACTTCATGCCAATAATTCTACATCTAAGAATTTATCCTAAGAAAATAGTTATTTAAAAAAAAGAAAGAAAGAAAAAAGTTATTTAAACATGTAAAAATAAACTAAAATATATTATTTTAGTACTGGAGAAATAAAAGCTATTTAAATGCCCAGAAACAATGATGTGATTAGGTAAACAATATATATATAGTTAATAAATATAAATTATATACATATATTTACAACTACAGATATATAATGTATATTTGATAAACCCATAATAATGTGCACAAATTACAATCCACCTTCTAATTTGGAAAGTATATATGTGATATGTCATAGTGATTCAGAAGATAAAGGAGGAGAGCAGTGAAGGAGAAGCACAATTAATTTCCAGGTTAAGAGGTGAGAGATACTTAGACAAGTGAAAACTTTGAAGCAAACTTCATTTGTCCTAAGTACCAGAGAATGAGGAAATGGAGAAGAGAAATAAATCAAACCACAGTGCAATATCACTGCTTACTACACTATACAAATTATGTGGGGAATTGTGTACATCCATCTTTCCATCCTCTGAAATGTCTCCATCAGCTGAAACTCTGAGAAGGCCAAATGCAATCAATATATCCAAACTGCTGGTCCACTCCAAGCCAAGGTAGATTTTATCTGGCTCTGAGATGAGTAATGAGGAATAAAAAGTAGGATCCCTGTGATAAAGTAAGGAACAGAAATCACCTGAAATAATCAAGAGAAATATCTATTATCTAGGGATTCCTGGGTGGCGCAGCGGTTTAGCGCCTGCCTTTGGCCCAGGGCGCGATCCTGGAGACCCGGGATCGAATCCCACATCGGGCTCCCAGTGCATGGAGCCTGTTTCTCCCTCTGCCTGTGTGTGTCTCTCTCTGCTCTCTCTCTCTCTCTCTGTGTGTGTGTGACTAAAATAAATAAATAAATAAGTAAATAAATAATAATAAATATTTAAAAAATTTTTAAAAAATATCTATTATCTATTGCCAGCTGTAGAAGTAATTGCAGAAAATTCAATAGCATTCTCATTACAATACAAGAAAAATCATGTCTCAAAAACAGGAGGACATTTAGAAAAAAATTATTGAGGCAGAAAACAACTGGATAAAATTAAAAGTGAAATAATGAGATACTACAATTCAAGAAAAGAAAAAATGCAATTGCAGAATAAAAACTCACATTACACGTTAAAACATGGAACACTCACCTGACAGCAAGAAATGAAGGAAGAAAAATTTCAATTTTGAAGAGAATATAGATATGGGACAGGAAATGATGAGTCAAGGTAAAAATCATGACTATTCCCCTGGGATGAGAAGGAATTGGAGAGGGAGATGGTTGCAGTTACAATTATTAAGGAAAAAATTGCATACCAGGATGTGCAAACTGAAAAGACTCATCACAATCTAGAGAAAATCAGTTAATCAGACTCACCAAGAAGCTTCTTAGAAACTAGTTTGGGTTTTGATGAAAAAGGAAAATATCCTAAAAACATCAAGGCAGAAAATCCATGCTACAAATATTTTTTTTCCATGTTACAAATAGAGTAATAAAGTCACGATGACTTCAGATTTGTCTTCCAAAACAATACATTAGACAGATAAAAGTGTAATGAATGAAAGCTATGAGTGGAAAACTTTGTAGCCTAATGACTTTATATCCTCCCTAAAGTACACCACTCATAAGAGACATAGTACAGTTCCTGATATCATCACTGTTAAATAAATGCTAGATTTATTGAAGCCATGACCCACAGACACTCACAGATAGTATAAAAAGATGGAAAGTGAGCATAGAAGTAGGTTAGACACCAATATAAGTGTATATATCATAAAACTGAGTTAACACAAATGCAATATCAAAAGGCATTCTTATTCAAATGTTTAATAAGAATATTGTACAGCAAACAGTGTATATATACAAAAGATAAGAAAATGAAAAAAGAAATAGAAAGTAGAAAACAAGAAACAAAATGATACAATTACACCAGAGAAAAAATATAAAGTTAATGTAACTGTATAAAAATTGCCTATTAAAAAGCAAAGAATCGGGGCAACCCATGTGGCTCAGCAGTTTAGCACCACCTTCAGTCCAGGGCCTGATCCTGGAGACCCGGGATCAAGTCCCAGGTCGGGCTCCCTGCATGGAGCCTGCTTCTCCCTCTGCCTCTGCCTCTGCCTCTGCCTCTGCCTCTGTCTCTGCCTCTCTCTCTCTCTCTCTCTCTCTCTCATGAATAAATAAATAAAATCTTAAAAAAGAAAGAAAGAAAGAAAAGAAAAGAATCTCAGCTTTCATTTAAAAAAAAGGAACACTGGGCAACCCAGGTGGCTCAGCGGTTTAGCGCCACCTTCAGCCCAGGGCCTGATCCTGGAGACCATGGATCGAGTCCCACGTTGGGCTCCCTGCATGGAGCCTGCTTCTCCTTCTGCTGCTCGTGTGTGTGTGTGTGTGTGTGTGTGTGTGTGTGTGTGTGTGTGTGTCTCATTAATAAATAAATAAAGTCTTTAAAAAAAATGAACACTGAGTTTTGTTATGTAAGTGATTAATCACTGAAATTACTCCTGAAACTAATATTGCACTGTAGGTTAACTAACTAGAACTCAAATATTTTTTTTTAAATGACACTTAGCTATAAGTTATTTAAAAGAAGTACACAGGAAATTTTAAATAAATGGGGAGGTACATTCTACACAAAATAAAATAAAAGGAAAGCTGGTTGGTGTTCTAGATTTCAAGGGGGGGGGGGTCCAATTCATCACCCATTCTTGAATCTATGCCATTTGCCTTCTAATTTTAAGTCATTCTTCTACCATTGTAAATGGATGAATTGCCCTACTTCTTGATATGGGGACAAACATGCAGCCTGCCATGGAAAATAGGATCCTGGTAGATATAATGCAAGCAGAGGCTTGAGATGGACTTGCATGTTGAGGTGTTGGCCTCTCATATTTCTGCCACCACCATAAGAACATCCTTGGTCTGGCCAGCTAGAAGAGGAGAGAGAGGCAAAGAAAAGCCAAGTTCCCAATTGTGTCACCCCAGCAGATTCACAGCGAGTCAAAAGCAAAACCTGCAAATGAACCTAATCAAGGACATGCCTAGCCAATTCCTACCTGACTCCACAAGTGTGAATAATACTGCTTTAAGTCAAATGTTACTGAGGGAATGAGTTTTTCTTTTGTTTCATTTTGTTTAGCTTTATTGTGACATCATATAATCAATTACATTGATAATATTAAAATCAGGTAGAGAAAATAAAAACAGGTCTTCAAATGATAAAAAACATTAATATGTTAAAACTCCTAAAAAAGGACAGCCCCGGTGGTGCAGCGGTTTAGTGCCGCCTGCAGCCCAGGGCGTGATCCTGGAGCCCCGGGATCGAGTCCCACATCGGGCTCCCTGCATGGAGCCTGCTTCTCCCTCTGCCTGTGTCTCTGCCTCTCTCTCTCTCTCTCTCTCTCTCTCTCTGCATCTCTATGAATAAATAAATAAAATCTTTAAAAAAAAAAAACTCTAAAAAACATTGAACTGACTCAATTCTGGTAGATGTTAGAAGTAGAAAAATAAGTTCTAGGCATGAAAAACTTATCAGAATCCCCAATTAGATTGTCAGATTTCTCAGCACAAACTTTGAAGCCAGATTATATATTAATATATTTAAAATATATTTA